TGATTATTAGCCAATCAAATTTATTATTTCTAGGCTTAAAGCAAGGACACGTAAATTTTTCGAAAGAAATCAAAATTTTGGGACAAATCGAAATTTTTGCGCATAAATCAATCGAATTTATCGAAATTATTGCTAACAGTTATTTGGTGCATGCATTCATACCATCGTGTCAATTTTTATCTATCCATACGATAACGGTATTATCGTCCGGCTGTTGTTATGTACTGCCGCACCAAAATTTTGTTCATACAGTATTTGAATTTTAAAATTCTTATTAGACAAAGCAGATTATTATCGTTCTGTCTAATAAGAATTTTAAAACTCAATCGTACAAATACGATCAAAATTTTGGTATGGCAGTAACAATATTGCCGTACGATTATGATATTCATGTTACACTCAGAATTATTATACAGTCAGATCTCCCTAAATGAATCATCCAGGACGGCCCCCAAAAGTTCGGTGACGTAAGATTAGTTAGTGCCATTTATTGGCTCTCTTCTATCTGCACATTGTAGATTATCCTTTCCGAACCTTTGTGTCTTATGTTCTGTTATTGCTCATAGGGGCTGACAAATATTAGGTAATATATATACCAATGACCTAAGTCATCATGACCTTGGTCATATAATCATATGACTTTTTGGTCATAAAAAATTTTTATATATTAAAAAAAGTCATAAGTTCAAATGACCTATGACTAGTCATAAAGGTAATGATATATACCCCTGGGGATTATTTGACTGAGAATCCCCAGGGGGCATATATTACCTAATATTTGTCAGCCCCCTTAACGTTGACATGTATTTCTTTATTTTTTAAAAAAATATCCACTCGGGTCTAACTCTAGGTCAGATTGAAAAATCATCCATGCTTACATCCTTTATGGGATACAACTCCTGGTTATTATAAACCTAGTCATAGGATACACCTCTACGTGGTGACTGGGACAAGTAAGCTAATAATTTTTTTTTTTTTGGCTGAAACTAAGTATCCTTGCAAAAAAAAAAAAAGAATTCACATTTTTATTTTCATAATCATTTATTATAAAACGCACCTACGATGGTTTTGTACCTATCATATGTTTAATTATGTTTTTTAGATTTTTCTAAGTTTTGAATATAAAAATTTTCAACATAAAATTTTCATGATAGTGTTAGTATTAGGGTTAGTATTAGTGTTTGGAAAGGGTTTTTAGGGTCGTAAAGCATTTTTACTTTGAGATAACATGGCTGCCGTCAATAGAAATAAGGCATATTGACATTTTAAAAAAAATCAATGCCTTAACTTTCACAGCTCATATCTTGTTGAGCTTTGATGATTTAGTATTCAAAAGAAAGCTTAGATCGTAAGCTTCTTTTGACTATTAAATAATTTAGCTTCAAAATCTGAGCTGTGAAAGTTAAGGCATTAATTTTTTTTAAAATGTCAATCTGCCTTATTTCTATTGACGGCAACCCATATATACATAGGTGTAAAACACCATAGGTGCGTTTTAGTAAAAGTCTTTTATAATAATAATAAAAAAATAGTAATCTGTTAAATTTTTAGTTTCGAGATTAGAAAATAATGTCGCGATTGCTAAAAGTCCAAAATATTAAAGTTATTTTATTACGTATTCATTTTGAAAACAAGTGGTTTATTATTTCGCGATAAGTATATAGCGATAGCCAATTATAAAAGCAATAGATTACACAAAATCTAACTTACAATTCATTTAACATAATAATTTAAAAATTACATAGAATTCGGAACTAGATTTGACCTTCGGATTTACAGCTATTCTCATAAATTCTGGGACAACTGGAATTTCTGGTGACCGAATTCGATAAGTTTCTGAGTTCGGTTACCTGATCCGTCATCAGAAATTTTTCAGTTGTCCAGAATTTATGAGAACAGCCGCGTATCGGATTCGATTTAAATTTGATATAAAACTGAATCTACCGAATCTGCAATACTCACAAAAAACAAAAGTATTCAATCATCCTATAATATATCTGTAATTATGATTAGCTTTGTTTTAGGTGATCGAACGTTTTTGTCAGTGAGTGTATGTATGAGCGTACGTACAGTACGTTAATACAAAGAGCTATTTAATTTGTCATTTACTTTTTCTATCGTTCGTTATTGTTGAATTGACCAATAATGTAACTATTGGAGCTGATGACCACTAATTAAATCCAGATTTAAGAAATAGCCTAGCTTTCATGAATATTATCAAGAATAAAAAATACAAATTATAACTTTTTATAATTATTTAATATAGTTGCGGCAATGCTACGGAAAAGTTACGGCATCATTGGGACGATTCACCTGCACCTCTAATGGGTACATTCGTAGCGATGGTTGAAATCATATCTAAATGCAGTTATCATTATGATAATTTTCAAGTTTGGATCTTGGTATGAGGCATCAAAACACCAACTTTCTTTTGACTTTCATTATATAAAAATATGGTTATTCGTTTAAACCTGACTTAGATTTAGCTATTACAGCATTAGACAAAAAACAATCGGATTCTCATATTAAATAAATATGCAAATTTGGACTCTTTATACAAACCAAAAGATATAAATCTTTAAAAAAAATTTTTGTTCGAATTTTTGAACTTGAGTATGTTTGTTATCATGGTATATGAGTCAAAAAGGATGAGTAAGGTATTTATTTATTTATTGTCAAAATCAGCAGAGTTGTGGGTATTAGTAGATCATGTTTATTGTTATCAAAATGAATCCGAGTTGAAAAGAATAAGCGCAAGACCTTCAAAAATTATCAAAAATCTACTACTGTAATATGAAAAAAAAAACTTATTACATTGATTATTGTCACGAACGTGGATCGTAATCTATAGGACAAATACAATGAATTCATTTTATTATCAGGAAACCGTAAATATAACGTAATTGTCATCGTCAAGAAAGAAGAATTCGAATACTATGCCGCCGTAATTACTATGACTACAGAATTAGCATAAAATGATTACAAGAAATTTAAATATTATTATCAAAACTTAGTTATTGGGATATATATTACTATCAAGAAAGATGAAATATACTGCTAGAACAAATATGGCTAGATTCTATTATCAAAATAGGGATAAAAAAATAGGAGCGCTAGTGGTGCTCTTGAATAATTATAAAGATCGTTGATTACGTTCCTAGTTTTAGTGCAAGGCTACCTTATACGATTAGAGTGATTACAATTTTTCCGTTATCTGTTATATAGAATTTTTAATTGGCCAATCACAGTTTAACAAACTTCCGAGTTAATGCATAATGACATGCAAAAAAAAGTTAAATTACTAATAAAAATAAGAATTTAAAGAATTTCAACTCTTATCTGTTCTCTACGAGTAAAAGTCTAACTCGTCACGATCCTTTGAAAAACAGATTTAATATCTGTTTTTTTTTTCTTATACTGTAGAAACCTATGATTTTGTTATAAAAACGCGTGTTTTCACAGTACAATTTAAAATGTCGCGTCAAAACTCAAAACCTTCTGTCTGTTTCTGCAATAAGCACACTATCGAAACTATGAGATCGGTTGGACAAGCACCTACACTGACTCAATTAAATCAAGCCATCACGAGCGAAGCAAAGTATAATAAAAATTGGTCTGCTGCTACCACTTTATTTCAAGATTTGGATAAATTGGTCTGGAAGAGATTAGCACGTTTGGATAACATGAGTATGACCGAGAATTTGGAAAAGTTAACACTTACACAACTTTGGTTTCAGACGCCTGTCGCATTACGTCCACTAAATGAAAGTGAAATCAAATATATCCGACGGGTTTATCAGATAATGGTACGATACTCTCCAACCGTCAATGATGCAACTAAATATTATTTACATTTACTCACAAATCATTTGGACACACCAATATTCGATGATGAATGCATTAGTCATTGTTTGATATCCCTCATTTATTTGATTTCTAAGAGTAACGATGTTGATTTCATGGAAAAAGGACTAGAATTAATACAGATGGCTTTAGACCGAAACCTAAATAATAAGCAACTTGAGGTTTTGATTGATGTTTCAAAAGAAATTTTTGAGTATTATGGGTTATGTTTTAATCAATTTAATGGTTTAATAGAGGAAAGCGTCTTTGGTAATCAAGGATCCATTCATGGTATTAGCAACTCAGTAGGTCGTAAAAAGAGTGGAAGACGTAATAATCGTTCTTTTCTAATTCCAAAATCCGATCTCATGAATGATAACCGTAGAAAACAAAGTTATGACATGTACATGCATGATGTTGATTGATTCATTCGAATACATACGGAAAAAAAGACTTATAAGGATATGAATTTTATTTTATTCTTTAAATACTAATTTAGAAATATATCAATAATGGATATAACACAATAGCAATAGCTTACAAAATTTTTGATGTATAACAACAGCTAATTAGGAAACATCACATAAATTTTTGCCTCGATGTTTTTTTTTTCTTTGCAGCATTTTGCTTATACTAATGTACCAATGTAATCATTATAATTATCAAATTTCATAATTGTAAAAACATATATATAATTTAATAAAGCTTTTTTTTTTTGAAATAATATTAGATTCATGATTTTGATAAATATTCTACACGTTTTATATCCAATGAATTTTATTAAAAACATTTTTTTTACATCAATAATTAAATTTGGCATTTTCCCTTTTCCTTTTTCCTCGCTCCTTCCCTTTTTTTTTACAAAATATTTTCTTGAAGTGATGTGAAGTTTTCAGAATCAAAAGCCATATTTGGATACTTTACTAAAATATCGTTGCACCATTTTTGTAACTTTTTGAAATTGATTAATTTGGGTGCTGATTTGATAAATTTGTGTAAATGAAGCCAATTAGCTTTTGTTTCAACCAATTCTTCTAGAAAAGACTTGTAAGTAACCCATTTTATGAAACACATGGTTCAAAAGACCTATTAAATATTAATATTAAATGTCCAAAACTGTCACAATGTTTCTAACATTAATTTCTTAATAATAAAAATTATTCAGTAACTTCTTGATCAGTATTGTCCGTCTCTTTTTCTTGATTAATATTTGTACTTCCTTGATCAATATTATCATTAACATCATCATTTATCACTTCCATAGCTATTGGTTCACTACTTTCATTACTAGTCAGTCTTGGTTGTATTGAATCTGAAACGGGTGATTCATCTAAGCTTTCACTTTCTCTTCGAGAATGTATAATACTTGTACTTGTCGAACTATTTGATTCTCTAAATTGAACCATACGTGTCCTTTCTTCAATGGCTGTTAAGTCACCAGATGCTCTCACATCCGGTAAACTCATTCGACGTATTGGGCTAGTTTCAATTCTAGCAATATGTCCTAAAGGACCGGGATTGGTTTTACGACGTCGTAAAGGTGGTGCCATAATTCTTCCAGTACCTTCTTCTTGTGAAAATGCATAACCACGCATAGGCGAAGTTATTCCTGTTTGCATAAATGTCATGCTGGCTGGAGTCTCCGGTATCTCAATAATATTTACTTGCTCCAACGAGTGTGTAATTATATGTAATCCTGACTTAGTACTCATTGAACGTTCAGTTGTAAAGCTAGGTCGAGGAGTACGAGTAAGTGTACCATCAGTATAAATAGGAACAGATGAATCTTGAGCAGAAAGAACTGTTTCACGTGTCAAATTCTTGTAAAGTCCTAAAGTTGGATTGAACTGACTATCATGAATAAAGTCGTATTGGGGATCTTCCTTGCATACTTCTTTCACAATATCAGAGTCTGTAGGTAAATAATTTCTTTGCCAATATTTCCATAGAAATCGTGGAAGTATAGAAACTATGATTGATAATATAATACAAAACCAAAATACAGCAGAACGATATACAATATTATTAAAACCATAAATGCCAGAATCTTGCATATCTGGTACTAAACTATATATTGCTATATAAATATATATTAATCCAATTGATCCAAATACAGAAATAAAATGAAACACCGTCCAACATTCAGAATTAAACCCATTAAACAGATTAGCCACTGTAATACAAGCTGCTGCCATCTCTGTGCCAAATTCAAGATAATCAGGCGCACGACCATCAACATTTACACTCCCTAACCCATAAGCAAAATATGGAACAAAAAAGCACACCAGGGATTGATATATTCCTTCAAACATAAATACATAAAATATGGGCATTGTATATGCTTTCTTTTTCATTCCCCATTGATATAATTCTGGTACCTCAATTGCAACTCTATCAGGAACATCACGATCAAAGACACCAATGGCCAACACAGCGCAACAGGTGAAGAATAAATTCCAAAACAATGTATATGTATACTCAAAAATGACTGTTGTAGAATATCCATCAAATAATTGAAACCAAAATAGAACTCCGACGCCAATCATATTCTTATAAAAGAAGTTTAAAATTAAGTTGGAATTACGAATGTAAGCATAATGTCCGTGAACTAACAAAAGACGAGTAAGAAAACGAAATTGTGCAATGGCATAATCGGACGCCATAACAGCTTGTAGTCCTTCTTCTCCTGCTACACCAATGCCAATGTGTGCGGCCTGTCAATCATAAAATATGCAAATTAACAAAGTTTGTCTTAATTAGAGTTGTTGATAATATATATAATATGATATACCTGAATCATGCTAACATCGTTGGCGCCATCTCCTATTGCACATGTTACAGCCTGTTTCCCTTCCTTCACCAACTCTACAACTTTAGCTTTTTGCAGAGGAGAAACACGGCAACAAATAACTCCTTTACATCGACAAGCCAAATCTAAAAGTAAGCTCCGACTAAAGGGTTCATCTAATGCATGTTTGAGTGCCGAACCATCAATTATCAAGGCATACCCACCGGGTCGATGAACATTTGATAAATTGGAATAAAGAGAAATACCACCTAAGCTCATTTCTCGTGTATGTGTCATTGATGGTCGAGAACCATTATTATTCATTACTACAGGAGGTGCTTTCGCAGCAGATTCGAGAATATCTAGCTCACTTGGAAAGAACTTTTCTACTGCATTACGCATTTGTTCATAAGCACTACCAGGTTCTCCATAAGCACCACCCCTAACGATAATGAGATTCATTTCCCTACTTAATAAACATGTAGAAAAACCTATACTAATTGCTGTTTCCATTTTATCTCCCGTCAACACCCAGATTTTTATGCCGGCACGTTTTAAAGTGGCTATACATTCTGGCACTCCATCTTGTAAACGATCCTCTATTGCAGTAGCTCCAAGTAGAATCAAATCTCTTTCGATCTTGTCAGAAACACTAGCAATTCTCTTATCTCGATCACTAATTGCAGTTGAAGCCTCACGGAATTCAATATTCCATTTATTATATTGTTCTTGACTAATTTCGGCATAACCTAGACAAAGTGTTCTAAGACCTAAATTTAATTTCTTTCGTTAAACTATATGATATATTGTGCTGTATTCAAACTATAAAATATTTGGAATCATTTACCTTCTCTCGCAAATTCTTCTAAATGTTCACCAGTAACATTAACTATGTAATCTTGTCCATTTTTTAGCCGCTCAAAAATAACATTATCTGCTCCTTTACAAAACATAATGATACGGCCATCCAAGGGATTTCGCACAATAATGCTCATCCTTTTTCGTGAGCTTGTAAATTCAAGAACATTCAATAATTGATAGTGAACTTTTTCACCTTCAGGTGTGGTGATTAATATATGTTCTGATTCACGTGAACGAAAAGTATATCCAACGTCCTTGGCAGCTTGCACAAGTGCAGCTTCATCAGGAGATTGAGCTTTGTATTGTGGTTCTCCATCGTCATTTGTACTAACCAAAACCGTATGACATATCGCAAGGAGTGTGAAAAAATCTTTGATAGTTTTCGCTTTGAATTGATCTGCAGACTGCATATCAACCGAAAGCTCTTTATCTGTGAATGGTTTTTTTATTAATTCATTTTCAGCATCAGATGAACCTGAAGGAATATGAAAAATGTTATTAAAGATTTTTATAGACAAACTCAGTTTGCCTAAAATTACTTGATATATATATTATATATCTCACCTCCGCTTTGATTGAGTGTGTATTCTCCATAGACCTTACCACCGATAGAACATATGCGGAATTCCATCACATTACGCGTTAGCGTACCAGTTTTATCAGAAAACATATATTCAATCTGACCTATTAACATGAAATAACTAAATTTAGTAGTAGTACATAATAAAAACTTCTCTAATATTATTGATAAAAAGCCTACCTAGATCATCAGATAAATTCCAATTCTTTGGAATACATGGAGTATCAGTTACTTCATAATGCATTTCTTTATCCATAAAAATAAAGAATGCCTGCGATTATAAAATCTATTGTTAGGAAATATTAAAATTGACTTTTACAGTTTTATCGATCAAATAACGCATACCTGAACACTCTTTACAAATTCCATTGACAAATATAATGAGATCGGAACGATGTTTTGAAAACAGATCAATGCATTCCTATTACCCAAAATTTAGCAATAAATAACTGATTCATATTATAAAGAATGTATTCTTACAATAAAAATAGATTAAAGTTTATCATACCAAAATGTAATAAAGGCGTTAAAATTAAGATTATCAGTAGTATTGAGATATGGTGGATCTAAATTGCTAAACCCACTTTCCCATACCCTTGTTCCAACCGCACACCATACACACATTAATGTCATAATAAGCAAATTTGCCATACTAATTAAAATAAAATGAAGATGAAATAATCACAAATTTTAATTAAAATTGTCACAAATATAGAAAATTAACCTACATTTGTGGATTCATCAATCTCTCTATCTGACTTCTTTTTGATGGAGTTTCACCGGAATTCAACGCAAGTTTCGTATCAGTACCAGTAAACACAACCAATCCAATTACCCATTCAGTATTTTTCAACACACAACCTCTTAATAATAATGAATTAAGATTAACAGCTATTTTAACAGGACCACCACGAGAACGCGGTCGGTCCGGTAAACCCTCCGGAAACACCAAAGTAGCATTATAACTATATAAATTTGAAGCAGGTGGTTGAGAATCTACATAAAATTTAATTGATGTACAATCTTCAGCCGTTTCTAAGTGATCAATTTCTGGTACGCTTGACCTAATCTTAAGATTCGTTTCACCATCAAGGTTTTTAGTCTCTACATAGCAAAGTGAATTAGGTTCCGAGGTTGAAAGGATAAGGATATCTAACAAGGAACAATAAATAAACAATGGTTACCCAAGGTTTAATTTGGACTTGATCATCTATTAGAATTCATACGCCTATATATGAAACAAGTCAACGGAGAATAAAATTACAAATTTTCTTTTTAAAAATCTTAATCTTACCAGCTGGAATAAATTCATCATTATGTAATTTAATAAAATCTCCCACTCTAACATCTCTAAACATTGTTTCTTTCCAAGTTGGACCATTTTTTTCATTTAATTTCTCGGAAGTTTTTGATTGAAAAGAAAAAAATTTAGAAGTTGAATTTGGATAATTATAATTTGTCCAATTTCCTAAAGTCCATGTCTTTCTGTGGTTAACAGATCTATCGGTCACGTGCCGTTTAAAGTCTTCAAATCCATCTTTTATTGCAGTTATGCCCGTTATTATAAACATTGGTAAAGCCGCTACTATAGGGTTTATAGTGGCGAATTCTGGAAACCATTGTAAAATTACTAATAACAAAAAGAAAAAATTGGCAACACGATGGAATTGTTCATACAAGTTTTTTGGCACAAAACTTAAAATCGAATACTTTGAAGTAGTAATTGTGTTGGTAGCATAACGTTGTCTCGGACGTCCTTTTTTATCAAGTTTGCTTTGTGGTAAAGGTGCATTAACATACACCTGACGCGTACACACTTGCGGCTCCCGACGCTCCCAAAATTTAAGACGATTAAACATACTTCCGCCTTGTATTTATTTTGCTTAATAAATTTAAATACAGTAGACAGCGGCTTCTGGAGCTCAAATGGCGGCTTATAACGCTGCTAAAAACTATTTATATTAAGCATTTATTGTGATAAATTATGATGTTACCTTTTTTTATAGGGTGAATAAAAACTATACCCGAACTCCGAAATCTTAAAAATAGTAAAAAATTTAACGTTTATATTAAATTATTTTATTTGCCCATTATGGTTTCATAACTTGCAATTGTGTCATGTGATGATAAGTAAATGAAACGACGTCCTTACGTACGGTAAAAAGAAGCAAGGTTTTTTTTAGTATATCTGATATTAATGTGTCACGAATTTATTGACATTGTATATAATATATACGTATAAGTAAATATTGTATAATAATTATAATAATTTGATTCAGCCCTTAGTCACGATTCCTCCTACGTATGTACTTAAGTAGGTTTTTTAACGAATCCCGAAGATGCTTTCGTTTCTTTCTATACGAAAACAAGCTGCTGTTAATCGGTTATTCCCCTCTGTAGGGGTAAGTATAACAATGGTTATTAATTTCTAATAGCGATAAGTATTTGCCGGTTTCGGATGCGAATCAAATTATCCATATCTAATATTGTATATAACTTTCTAAACAGGTAATGATTGATAAAACTTAATTAGCCTATAACAGAGCTGGCGTTGATAGGTATAAACATAGACCAAAAGGGTAAAATCTTATTTGTATTGAATTCTTAAATTGATTCTAGAAACAGGATAAGTATATCATTATATTATTACCTTATTATTACCCAATAAATGTTAAAAACAGGTTATTATATTACCTTGGCGTTTTTAGTTAATGGTGATAGACCAATTCAAGTAATTGCGTAGATTATCGATATCTGCCTACATTTACTAATATATACTGTATATACATGCATATCTGATATACATAGATTAACAGTTAACATGAAAAAAATATACATACGTACGTACATACTTATCGAGCTTGTCATAGACGATGCGTCGGAGCTTATTGCCAAGAAAGCAAAAGAACACTATTTCTACATAAAGCGAATGTTTAATCAATCACATTGAGATCGAGTATTATTTATACTGATCTATTAAGAGGAAATGATTGATATCTACTGAATTGCAAGTTATATACAGATATATCTTGATTTATAGCTCCATTTGTTAAAATATGCCCATCTTTGTCATAATATACAATATTTATTACCATACTATCTAGACGAAGGTTTCACGATTCAGCAAATAAATTCGATTGATTTTGTACTATTCAGTTTCTTACACCGAAGGAAATCGAATACCATAAAGATCGCTCGAATATGATCATAGCTGTCACACGACTTGTCATATTTTCCGATACCCGCATTGTGTTGCTGCATCCTGTGTGATGAACCCTGTTTATCTATCTCCGTATCATTTATTGAAATTTATATATTTATCATTACTATTGTTTTATATTTTGCTGCCAAATTAAAATTTGAAATGAATATTTAAGTTGTTACGTACAGTACCTTTGTCGGGACTTACTGATAAAGTATTACTTTATGTACAATAGGCGTTCGGAAACAAAAATGTATGTAAATAGGTACGTACGTAAAATAATACGTATAAAGTTAACTTGTCCGCATTTCCCTTTATAGCAATTAGTGGCAAAGAAAACATACTACGTACGTACGTACGTAGTTTACGTATTAATTTATCTGTTATTAGCTAATTACAGTATAAACTAATGCTAAACTAATGCTACGTATGAATCCCGAAGTTCGTTTAATTGTTTTTATTGTCATAATTATGTTAATAAAAAACAAATACATACGTACCACATGACATTAAAAATTCTTATTAAATTCTCCCTAATATAGTATTACAATTTACAAAGAAATTGCGAATTAAGTTAGTCCATTTTTGAAAGGCATTTTATTTATCCTAACGCGAAGAAAAAACCATAATCAGAATATAAAGTTTATGGTCAAAAAAGACTAAAATTGTTACCATGTTATATAAACGATTAAAACACTAATTGTGTGTATGTGATCAGTTGTGTAATATTTCAATTTGTACGTACGTAAGAGATGGTTTTTTTTTTAAAAAAAAAGAACTAAGATATAAATTATAAATATTTGTGATGTGGAATCAATCGGTGTGACATATAGATATCAGGTTCTGACACGTGCTAAGATGTCACGAATATAATCGATTTCCCAACTGTTATCAACCAATCAGATAATTTTTAACTATGTTCTAACGTTAGGGAGCGTATTAAATGTTAAGTTTAGTATTGAGGCGAGAAAATTTTGCTCATAAATTAGTAAAAAAGCTTTGTACTCATTTTATTCACGTCGCTACTAACAAACCGATAACTAAAATGTCAAAACAAACTAAACTTGGGTAAGTCAATTCTTGTCAGTTCTTTTAAAACTATTGAAGACCTAAATTTGACGCGTTTTATATTTTATACGAAAGCGCGTTTTTCAAGCCAAAGACGGATGGGACTACGGATATAAATAACGCTCGGAGTTTCAAGACTAATGGGAAAAGAGAAAGAGACAAAACAGAAGATGAAGAAGAGGTCGACAGACTTAAAGTTAAGGCAAAAAGGCGAGCAACTAACACTATAAAACAAGGAGAAGGAGAAGTTCAAAACAAAGAAGAAGAAATCGATCTAAAAAATGATGAAAATGAAGAGATCGATATAAAAAATGATGAAATCGATGCTGAGGAAATAAATGCATTAGCTAATAATTTGTAAGTAATTTTCACTTGATGAATTCAAAATGTTTATTTTATTCTTACCCGAAAAAAGCTAATTAACACCGATTTTACAGAGCAAATCGAACATCAACTAAAATTTCAGATATAAGTTGGGAAGCAGGAAAACCGTAAGCTGTTAAATATTAATATGAATATTATTAGTACTCTTGTTTATTGTTGTAATCTATTTTACAGTGTTCCTTATGCTGCTCTTTGTAAAACCTTTGAAAAAATCGAGGCAACCACAAAACGTCTTGAAATACAAGAGCATCTGACCACATTTTTTGTACAAGTCATTGAACTAAGTCCTGACAATTTATTAGAGTCTTTATATTTGTGTCTCAATCGGGTAAGTTATGAAAGCTGTAATTGGCGCACGTTAATTCATTGAATAACGTGTAAAACTCGCGTTACTTATTTTAATATCGCTTCTAAATTATTCCATTTCTAGATTTGCCCTGAATATGAAAATCTCGAGTTAGGTATTGGTGAATCTTTATTGATAAAAGCTATAGCCGAAGCGACCGGACGAAAGACATCAAAGGTGAAAGAAGAATTGGCAAAATGGGGTGATCTAGGAAAAGTCGCTAAGGTACCAATTTTATTCATTCTTGGCTTTATGATTATATTTTGGATTTAATCAATCTATATATTTTTTTTTGTATTGTTATTGAAGGACAGCAAAAGTACTCAACCAACATTAGTCAAACCGAAGCCTTTAACAATTCCAGCGCTATTTAGCAAAATGAAAAGTATCGCGAACACCAGTGGACAAGACGTAATGTGTTCTAAAATAAAAAAAAAATTCACATAGTAATGATCAATTTTTAATATTTTTCTTTTTTTTAAGTCTCAGGAAAGAAAGGTTCGGGACATAATGTTTTTGCTCACTGCATGTCAAGGTGATGAGGCGAAATATCTAATAAGGTAATTGGCGTAAAATGCCTTGTAATGAACCGTATGCGATACGCGTATGATTCTATTATTAAACTGCATTAAACATTGGTTAGATCTCTTGAAGGAAAGCTCCGTATTGGACTAGCAGAACAGACGGTTTTGATATCACTGGCACAGTCAATTGTGTTAAAAGATCCAGGTGAATAAATTTAAAATTTTATTATATATAAATTGAAATTTGAACTAATTTTTATCATATAGGATATCAAAAGCTATCCAAAACTTTAAAGGCAGAAGAATTGACTACTGCTGCAGAAATTGTCAAATCTGTGTATAGGTTTGATTTGCATATTCTTATTATATTTTCTAATGATATATTTGATCATAGTGCAAATTGTGCTAATATAATATCTCAATAGCGAGCTCCCCTCTTATGATATAATTGTTCCGACTTTGTTGAAAATAGGAGTGAAAGGTCTTAGGGAAGCTTGTAAATTGACGCCTGGTAAGATTTACTCCAAATTTATGTGATTAACTATTTTGCATGGTATAAACAATAATATGTCCTATAAATAGGTATTCCAATCAAACCAATGTTAGCGCATCCAACAAAGAGTATTACTGAAGCTCTTGACAGAGTCGAGGGAAAAACGTTCACATGCGAATTTAAATATGATGGTGAACGTGGACAGGTACAATATGTTACTTAAATTACAATAGTTTTACTCCGTTTATAACTAACTTAAGAGGTTAAAATATGGAATATAGATTCATATGTTAGAAGATGGCACCTCAAAAATGTACAGCAGAAATTTGGAAGATAGTTCTATGAAGTTCCCAGATGTTTTAGAGATACTCTCCAGTGTAACCGTTGAATTTATCATTCGATTATATTAATGATTAATCTGATAATATATTTACACTCACTATTTTATTATATAGATCGTGAAACCTGGAACGAAAAGTTTTGTGCTTGACTGCGAAGTTGTAGCATGGGATCCGGTGAAAAACTGCCTTTTGCCCTTCCAAATTTTGAGTACAAGAAAAAGAAAAGATGTTAAAGAATCAGAAATAAAGGTTTGTGTGTGTCTCTACGCCTTTGATTTGCTCTATCTGAATGGAGAGGTAAGTTGATCAATCTCACGACATTCAACATTTATACCATATAAATCATGCAATATACTTAATAAAATGGTTAAACATAATTTTTTTCCAGTCACTCCTTCAGAAACATCTTGCTGAGCGGCGTGAACATTTGTACAATGCGTTTCAAGAAGTTGAAGGTAAATTTTCATTTGCGCGTCACATGAATGCCTCGAACGTTGAAGAAATTCAGACGTTTCTTGATGAAAGTGTCAAAGGAAGTTGTGAGGGGCTGATGGTAAAAATATTAGATGGCCCAGAATCGAGCTATGAACCTTCAAAACGTTCGAGAAATTGGTTGAAGGTAATCAAAAGTTTATTCATTCATCAATAAAGTACGCGTTAAATAGTGATCTTCAAGTTTATTATTTTTATTTTAGATAAAAAAGGACTATATTAGTGGTGGTGTTGGGGATTCTTTAGACCTTGTCGTTGTTGGTGCATACTTAGGACGTGGAAAGCGTACCAGCGTGTATGGCACGTTCCTTCTTGCTTGTTATGATCCAGATAATGAAGAATATCAAACAATCTGTAAAATTGGAACAGGATTCTCTGATGCATCACTAGAAACACATTTTAAATTCCTTAAAGAACACGAAATACCTGGACCCAAAAAGTATTATAATTATGATAAAGGGACGAACCCAGATGTTTGGTTTGAGCCTTGTCAGGTTTGGGAGGTAAAAACTGCAGATCTTAGCATTTCTCCTATTTATAAGGCCGCTTTAGGAAAGGTATGCTATTATCATTATTTATAATTATTTATTGTCATAAGAATAATTACTTAAAAAAGATTTTAAACTTTAGATTGACCCATCTAAAGGTGTATCTTTACGTTTTCCGCGATTTATTCAAATACGAGAAGATAAAAAGCCAGAAGATGCGACCACAAATGATCAGGTAAAATCTTTATGGTTAATAGAGTACTGTTTATTGCTGCAAAATTATTCATTTAATTAATCTTGAATATTACTATGGACATTAGGTGGCTGATATGTACAGATCTCAGTTCAAAAACGAAGAATAGGTTTTACGATGCAATTATATCATGTATAAATAGAATATTGGTTATAATTAAATAGCATCAAATGCAATTTTCATTGTTTTTGAAATAATAAATCATACTAAGGATTTATCATGCACATTTAATAATATCATGTCAAATTAGATGTAGATTCTTAATTTACTTAAAATTCTATGATCTAATTCTGGATTTTCAAGTGTTCCTTTTAAGAACTTTTTTTCATCTATACCAAGATTTAGATCATCATCTGTGAATTCCCTTGTGTTTTTAAATACTACTTTAACCGCATCCTCACCGACAGTGTCGAAATTTAAAAAGGAATTAAGGGCATGATACATTCTCAGTGGTAAGTATCTCCACCCAATTCTGTTATAGAAGCGAATATACCCAATTGGTTCGAGCTCAGGCACAGAAAATTCATCTTGTTTAACTACCTGTGAATTTCTCAATGAATCAGACATAATATTTTCTGCCAGTGACATTGAATCGTTGTTATTATCATTTGTTTTCATGTCTTTTTCGTTTGGTATTTCTTGAGACTCCGTAAGCGAAGAAGCACATCCTTCATTTAGTCCTTGTAAATATTCAACAAAACTAACACGGCCAATTACAATAGCACCATCTCCAACCGTTTTATTTAACAAATTTGGTTCTTGACGTGTATTATTAGATTCGATATTAGTTGATGCTTTTGCAGCTTTACGTTTCTCTATTATTTCATCTCGTACTTTGGAACGAAGTTGTCCCGGTTGTGTGCCTTCAACAAGCTCATATTCCATTGCTGCAGCAACAAGGACTGGCTATTGCAGGAAGCAAATTTATAATTGAGAATAAAGTGACAATAATCCAACGATTTCATTTATAACGCTATCTAATTAGGTAAGCGTTTTGTTAAAAAGAAAAGTACATTGTATAATTTATTCAGGGTTGGTATGGACTGGTCAATGGTCAATCTTGGCTTGACCAATTTGACCAGTCCAGTCAAAGGAGTTCACACTGATCAAATTGGTCAAATTATATAAATTATAATTCTTTGGAAAGAATGGGGGGATCTATAAATCTATTGATACACAAAATATTATCTATATCTTTGTGTAACAATAAATTTGCTTTAATTATAGGGTGGTTGGCAAACTGACGAGCTTGCCACTATTTGGCGAGCTAAAAAAAAGCTTGGCTCACCAACTTGCCAACTTTTGTAATATAAATTATATATCATTCGACCATTGACCGGCAAATTATATAACATCTATCAATCTTTACCTTGACATATTCTCGAAAATGAATTCTCGTTTTATATATTCCATCACCCAACGGCGGTGCTAAATATACCTTCACTTTACGTGGTAGCTCGTCTACGCTCATAGGCTCTAAAGCTATATGTGCAACTTTTTGTTCAACAAACTTTTTTCTTTCTTTGGATAATACATTATCACGATAAATTAAACCAGTTATAACTGCACATGCGCCAAAAAAAGTCAATACTTTTTTAGACGGTAATTTCGGTAATTTTAAGAAAGATAATTTGGATGTCATGTTTCGTAAAGACTGTCTGTTTTCCATAAGGTTGATACTTATATATCTAACGCTAAGCCTCCCGATTATCGATAATCTGAAAGATTATCCTATCCATATTTGATCTGAATTAACCCTTAATTGCTTACTAACTTCCGGCCGGAATTAACTTTTTAGTTTCTGGAAATTAGGCCTGCACTATGGTAAAATTGGCCCAGGAATAATTTCACTTACAGCTGTTTTCATAAATTCTGGAAAATCTGATTCAGGTTTCTGAAATCAATGAGAATAAATCTTATTTATTTTGATTTGTAAGCTTGTTTATACAATAACAATAATAATTAATACTTTTATGATTTTGTTAATAGTATTTTAGAAATACTAATAGAATATTCTAATAATACTCTTAAAACTCATAAAAATACAATTAATATTCTCGATGAAGAGATCGATGAACTGTTGGAATTATGCAATTATAAATATGTATATCAGGACTTTTTAAAGACCTAAGGACCCTAGGTCCTTAAATTTGGACTTGGTCTTTAAAGATCAGGTTTAAAGACGAGGTCCTAAAGTCCCGGACGTCAGGACTTTACCAACCCTAACTCGAACTAAGAAAATCTTCCAGAGCATTTCGATCATCTGCTGTTTCAAGCACAACTTGATCTAACTTAGCTATCACATCATCATCGGATTGATATGTTATCGACTGTATAGGATGTGCTATCCATTAAAATAAGTTCCTTATTTAATAATGACAAGCGAAATAAAAGAACTTGTCGGCTATTAAAAATAAGTGAACTCATACCATTAAACAAAGAAGAATCTATCACTCGATTTCGATAATTTTCCATTTGTGCTTCAAAATTAGCTTGGTAAAGCTGTATCTTCTGAACCTGATGATTAGCCAAAAACTCTTCATAATGTTGTTGATAAAGCACTCTTTTTTCTTCCAGCTCTTCACTGAAATAGAAGAAATTTGTCAAGTCAAATTATAATAAATATAGGGTCCTGATTTTTCCACACCCTTTTTTGATATTTCCACACCTCTATGTAAATCGTTTTTTTTTTAACTACCTGACCAAATTTGATGAAATTTTTTTTTTTGAATTCTCCGGAACCTAGGGATCTTTACCGGGTCGAAAAATAGCGACCCGGATTGAACCTTTCTGACCCAAGTTACAACCCAATAAGTTGTGCAGTCAGACCTCTCTAAATGCATGTCGGCTGATAAAATCACAATGTAACCATTATCACGTGATAATTATGACTTTAGTAGCCTAAAGATAATGAATTTGATTGGCCGGTGATCACGTGGATATATCCGGCCAAACAATCAGCGTGTATTTACAGAATAAAGAACATGCATTTATCTATAAGTCCCACCATGGGCCCGGACTTATATCATGCATTTAGGAGGTGCTGCATTTAGGGAGTCTGACTGTATATGCCAAGGCCAATAACTTTCGTAATTTTTCGGATTTCATTTCAGAAAAATTATTCCACCATTTACTCGTGATTTAAGTTCTTTCATTTATCACATCGGAAAAACCGGATAAACTGGATAAACTAAGTAACTGACCCGGGTTGGAACAATTTTTGACCCGCCAAGATTCTGATTAGGATGCGAAAGTATAATATACGCGTTTTTCTCATCGTATAATTAAGCAAAAAAGGATAAAATCATATAGGTAGATTGTGATTGGTGGATAAGTGTATCGAAAGATGGCTGGCATAAATTCCATAAAGCTCTGATATAGTTTGCCGTTTGACCCGGGTAGATCAAAATTTGACCCGTGACCCGTCGGGTCGGGTAACCCGTACGAGTCATTCGACCCGGGTAAGAACCCTGCCGGAAACTTAGAATTCAAATAAAAAAAAAATTCATCTAATTTGGTTGTATGGGTGTCAAAATACCTTCGATCAAAGTCAAGAAAATTTTGCCGCATCTAATATTTTGAGATAGACGCTTAAATTTTTTTAAAATTTTGATTGAAGATATCTCAACACCCACCAAACCAAATTTGATGGATTTTTTTCTATTTGAATTCTACTGTTCCAGAGAATTCAAATAAAAAAACTTCATCAAATTTGGTCGGGTGGTTGTCGAAATAAATTCGATCAAAGTTTTAAAGAAAAAATTATATCAAATGGCAAGATTTTTTTGACTTTGATCAACAACCACCCAACCAAATTCGGTTAATATATTTTTTAAATTCTATGGAAAATGGAATTTAAATAAAAAAAATCCATCAAATTTGGTTTGGTAGATACTTTCAATCAAATTCAAGAAAAATTTTTTTAAACGTCTATCAACATATTAGCTGCGGCAAAATTTTCTTGACTTTGACCGAAGATATCTCAACACCCGCACAACCAAATTCGATGAAATTTTTTTTATTTGAATTCTACGGTACCGAAGAATTCAAATAAAAAAATTCATTGAATTGGGTTGGGTGGTTAGCGAGTTACTTTCGATCGAAGTTAAAAAAAAAGTGATTCACATAGGGGTTTGGAAATATCAAAAAAGGGTATGGAAAAATCAGGACCCTAAATATGAATATAATTTAAAACATACTTTTTTTC